TACGTGGAGCCATCAGAATTAGGAAATGTTTGGGAGATGCAACAGTACAGATTATTACAGCAGAGCTCAGCTACAAGTGTAGGATTACTGCAGCCCTCTCAATTTCAAGTATAGAAAGATTCTTTAAGAATTGAAACAATATCTCAGAGTGAAGCAGCTTACATATCAGTAATCCAAGAATTTTGTATTACTACTGCATTTAACAATTATGGAATTCTTCATATATTGGGAAAAACTGACCTAACTACATATAAAGACAAGACTGTGGATCTTTTTGTTTTAGCAATGGAAACTTCTGGCTCATACTTCCAACATCTGTAATCTAGAAGGAATCACTGATCTATCTGACTTTTCTTTTAAAAAGCCTAATTCCTTTACATTGATGAAGAGTTTCAATGGCTGGCTCACTTACTGTATTCACGGAGCTTAAATTATGTACTTATCTATAAACACCTGCATTTCTAAAACTAGATGATGCTTCCGAATAGCAGAAATTTAGGATTTTTTCCAAGCCTTCTTTGGTCAGTGTGAATCCTAGGCTAGCATACTGGTTTACAGGCCATACTTATCTATAAACACAAAGCCAGTTATCACAAGTTTTATTTACAGAGCATTCCATCCTGGGAAGAAAGACTGTAGTTCATGGCTCTTCTATGTTTTCAATTTATGACCCCAGTCAACTATATTTGAGGGCTTTATTTATCCATTTTTTGTAAGTACAGCTAACAGTTTTTGATTTAGAGAAGGCACACATATCCAAGATCTATAAAAGAACTACTCTTTCATAGCTATGATCTGAAACAGCTGCAAAATAACAATGCTTGTAGCTGGTGACCTAATTAGTCTTTTACCTCACAAAAAACTCCCAACCAAAACATCTGAAAATTCTAATTTAAGTCTTGGCTAGATGATGCCTGAGAAAATGGTGTTCTAAACCAGGCAATAGCATAGAACTGCCTCAAAATTAAACAACTCAGAGTTAACACCCAAGTTCCATACCTGGACATATATTCCAGTTGAAATTTTATATCAAAGAGACAGAGGGACATAACAGGGACATAATCGTAACTTAGGGTTGGTGGTGAAGATAGTATTTCCTTGGAGAGAACAGTAACTACATCTCTGAATCTTTCTGTTTTATAGATCAGTAGTAAGGCTGAGACATAGGGATTGCTTTTGCGTATTTGACAGAGAATCAAAATCAAATTGGACTTTGGAGTCAAAGCTGTGAAATTCAGGGGTATTAGCTGCTGATTTAAAGACAACATCTGGCTTCCAGCTCTTGTTCTATGTGGTGCTTATTATAATGAGCACAATTACTCTGATAACTGAACATGGACACTACCAAAAACATGGAGCTACCAGGCAGATCTAGCTGGATTTTCAAGGACAGTCTTCCCTTCTTTGGTCTAAAAGTAAAGCTGGGTATTAAAAATGCACTAATATGCAATTCTGAAAAGCGTGTAAGAGCTGGAGATCACAGGTAAATTATCACTTTGAGGAAAGAAATGGTAGCAATACTTGAAAGACTGTTCATAATGTGACTAGTGAAAGGATTCTTCTGTTTCAAGTTGGAGCTTTCCACTTTTGAACCTTATTTATTTAATTAGGATGGGAAACTATCTCAGGGGATAGCTACTCCTAAACTTGATAAATTTCTGAGGTTGATGCATTTTCCTAGTAAGTTCTTACTGATGATTTTTTAAAGACTGTTTTTTTGCGGTTTTGTTTTTGGGGTTTTTTTGGGTTTTTTTCAGTAAATCTGCAGAAGGAAAGTGGAAGATAACATTTTTAATAGGGCTGATGTTTCAAATTTACTACATCTCTCTTAAAAACTGATGGTTGTTTGGACCTTCAGCAACACTGGACTTGTCCTGTGCTATGTAATTACTGACTGAAGTCATGTATTACTGAAAGTGAAGGATTGTATGAAAATGATTTTAAGAGGAAAAAAACATGTAACTTGGTGGGTAGCAGGGGTATTCTTTCCTCACTTGCCTAGCAAGAATGCTTTCAACAATATCCCAAGTCCTTTTGTGCTTTAGGGAAAAAAAACCTGTTCTTTTAATAGCAAACTATTCTATGCTTGGTCATAAAAATGTTACGAATACAAGTGCACTGGCATAACAAACATTTCTACTACCTTCAAACAGAATAGTTACAGAAAGTGGATTATCTCAGTTAGCCTCTTTTTATTTCATCTTTATGAGTTATCATTTGTGACAATCAGCCATTTTCAGAACTGCTGCTCTTGAATATCATGTTTGATGACATTATTTACACACTAACTTAGGTCTTCAAATATTGCACTCTCTCAAGTCTGTCCGTAGCACTGACATTTACAGGATACGACAGCAAGAATACTGGAAATAGGGTTAGTATTTAATTACTACTGTTAATATTTGTGCAGCAGCATATCTGGGGAAATTTGGGAGGTAGGGGGCCTTTTTTAAATGCTTCTGACAGTTTGTTACTCTGTAACCTCAGAAAACTATGGAAGTTTTCTCCTTTTTTCTCTATAATGGGTTCAAAAGGGATAACAAAATAGTTATAAGAGATAACAAATAGGAAACTTCATATTAGGTTTTAATGATGTGCTTATAGGATTTAAGTAACCATAACAGGTGGTCAAAGACATGGATGAAAAAAGTATGAATAACCTAATATTTCCTTAAACAGTTTTCTGTTTCTCATCAGTAAGAACAGGCTTTGCAAACTGCAGTTCTTACTGAATAGCCTCGTGGTGATGCCTGTCCCAATAACAACTTCCAAAAAAATTTTAGGCAACTCTGCAAAAAGGTATATTTTTGTTAAGAAGAAATGCAATATAACTGTAGTTGATAAATGAAAAAGTTCACTGATTGGTTTTCATAAAAACTAATGAAAATGTACATTTCTAAGATAATGCCTTGGTATGATGCTAAATCTACAAGATCACCCTTTGCTGAAACAAGGTTCATGTTCAGCAAGACACTTTTCACTAATTTACTTTCCATAAAAGACTTAGGAATCCTTATGATTTCACTGATGACTGGACTTCAAAGTGAGTATGTGCTTATTTTCTAGTGAAAACAAACTAAGGATGCACTTTTTGCCCTTCAAGAAATGTTCTTAAACAGATGAATGCAATTCCTAGGAAAAACATGAAATCAAAATATAACCTGTTGAATCCCCTCTCATGTAACAAGCTGGGGTTAACAGTATTCAGTTTCTCCTGTTAAACAAAAATTCAGGATTCCCTCAGGGTCCCCCTGGTTGGGATAGTGCCAGTATAAGAACTTATTCTGAAATGCATACTTGCAAAAGAGACTGTATCTGAACTTCTTTATGAGCCAAGTGACCAGCATCTGGCTACCTAATGCAAGACTAAGTCATCAGAAGATCATGGATAGCAGATATGGCAGCTTTGCTCCTTGAATACCAAGTCTTTCTTTTAAATTTCAAGGCATGGGAGGCTTGCTTGTGAATTCGCCTGTGGGAAGTCCACAAAAACATAAAACCAGTATGACACATAGGAATGGATTTCACTTCCTAAATTGTGTAGTTTCAACATTTACAAGTGAAATGTGATGAAAAAGATCTGCCACAAACTGCCAAATTAATGATACGAAAACAGTTTCAATAATTGAAGAGACAAATACCTGTGCTGAAATTTATTTTATACCCATAAACTCATTCTGGTAATGTCCCAGTGTTACTAGTTTTGAACTGAACTGATGCCTACTTGAGGAACAGTAATAAATTTTCTTAATGCTGTAGAAATCCCAGGCTTCAAAAAGGTTTTAAATTTAAACAGAACTGTGATACAAACTACAAAGGTTAACTACTTCAGAATAAAATATTAGTCCAATTTTTATCTTTCTGTGAGAGTCAGGATAGTGACTGGTTAATTTAAGATAAAGAAAAGAGTATTTAATTTTATAAAAATAAAGCACTATTTCTGTGCTGTCAAGAGGTCATATGGCAGAGCAACAGTCCATCTCTTTAACAGAAGAAGAACATTAACTTTCCAGAAAAGCTATGAATGCTGATAGAGAAGACACTGTTATCCTTTCTTGCAGACTTTAGTGATGCATACATAAGGGCACGCAGTAGGGTGAATCTTGGATTTTTCCAAATGATTTTGAAACATTCCTTAAATCTTAGTACACTTGCACTTGCATTAGCACACTAGCAAATTAAGGCACAAACTCTGTGTACTACTTAGAAGCATACAAACTAACAAGAATGTTTCCTATTGCTCTTGAAAAGTATCTCTGGGCTACGTGAAGTACAGAACTAAGTAAATATATCCAGTACACTTATAACGAAGTTTTAATTTATGCCACCATATTTTCCAAGCACTACCTTCATGGGTGTATCTATATATATGTTTCCTTAGCTCCAAGAAAAAAATCACTTAAGAAATGCAAGAAGCACTCACCATTCCTGACAGTATCACCTCAAATACAGGTGATGTGCTCCCACACAACCATTCACTGTTGTATTTGGACACTAACTCCTATGTAACAAACTCTTCTAGACTACACATATTTTGGTCACACATAGTCCTAAACCACCACTCAGTACTACTGTAAATACACCTTAGAGAGCAAAAATGATTTGGACAACAGAAAAGCCACCTTAACAGAAATAAAAATGTAATGTAGCCACTGACTTCACTCCACCTCAATCCCACTGTAACACTGCCCTAAAATATAGGGCTAATTAACATTCCAGATGCTGTGTTACTCATAATCCCTGTTTCTACTTGCAGTAGCAGCAATTGGTATCCCTTGATCTGAAAAAAATTTAGTAAATTCTTAGAAAAATTTCAAGCACCTTAATGCTGGAATTCAGACCAGGATAGTGTCTGTAACCTGTTTCTATTTCTGTGTAGAGCCCTAGAAAATAATTCCAGCTGTAAAGAGGACCCAGAGTCAGAGTAACAAACTGTGCATTTCCTCCCTCCCCCTACTAGTATGCTTTTATTCTTTCTGGCCTTTTTTTTTTTAATACATATATATATATATATATATACACACACACACAAAAACACAAGGTTTTAATTCCTGGTGAATTTAAACCTTGTTTATCCCCAATCTTTTGAAATATGATTGCAATTAAGTAAGAAAAATAGAAAGTTAGTATTTCTACTCTGCTGTTCCCAGCCTATCAGAGGCTTTAAAGATGCTTCTTTAGTTTTGGTTGCTTGAACAACTTCCTCATGCCATACAGAAGTAGTGTTTTGCTTTGGACACTGTGATGGAATGTACTTTTGTTTAACATAATCTTTTGCAGGCTCCAGCTGCATTCTGAGAATTTTTACCAATTTAAGGGAAAAAATCAGGATTGAAAAGGAAATCTAGGAAAACTCTTTAACTCCTCTAAGATCAATGACACTCTTTATCTGCTGCTATCATTGGTAAACCTCTTTTTCTTGGCTACTGCTTTACATATTCTTTGGAAGGCAGATGATTTGCAGTATTTCTTAACATATGCCATTAAGACTTAATATTGGTCTTTTGTTTCTTAAGGAAACAAATATGTCTCACTGTGTAAGAGACATATTAATGAATTCTGATGGCATCGTAGGAAGAAAAAAAAAGGCATGGCTTAAGTAAATCACATAAAAAGTTAGAAGTATTTCTATAGTATGGTGATAAATGCACAAGTAATTCAATCTGTACAGAAAAAATTCTGGATTTTACTGTTCAGTAAGCACATCTGCATCCAGAATCTGACTGACCTTCATCCTTAAAACCAAGTAAAACTTCAAAATATCAGCTGCAGAAAGAGTTTTAAAAAATATAAAAGTTTCTGGTTGAAATACTTGTCAAAACTGTCTTCAGTTGTAAGGCCAACATGTATGGCAGTCACTACATTAGAGTGATGACATACAGGACAGGGACAGCAGAGTGAGAACACACCTTAAGGTAGAAAAACTCTAAAAAATGTCACTTGCTGTAAAACAGATAGAAGCCACAGTCCCTTAAATTTATAGTATCTGCTTTCCTATGTACATGTAACCTAAATTACAGTATTACTGTAACTGGATATATAGCATTTTGCAGTATGTATCTTTAACGCAGGTGTAGACATCACTCAAGATGGTATACATGGATATAAAAAAACCAGTTAATTTCAAAGTAATCCTAGAAGAATATTGCAAATAATGTTCGATAAATGCATAGTGTTTGAAGGGAAAAATTACTTCACTGGAAAATAAAGTCCCACACACTGAGTTTGGCACTTGTTTGTCACTATGTCACTTTCTTTTTGATTGAAGATAGCTCTTTCTGAATCTCACTGAATTTTGGCCGGTTTTCTGGCTTGTAGTCCCAGCACCTCTGCATTATTTTGTATATTTCTTCAGGACATTTTTGTGGTGCAGACATTCGGTAGCCTAGTACACAAGAAAATGAGGAAAATATTAAGCACTGAAAACCGATATTGTGTATATGCGTACTGACAAATCTAATAAGAAAGAAGCAAAGTTCAAGATCATTGCCTTAAAAAAAATCTTCAGGGCAATATGAGGAAAGTCTTCAATATATAACCTATATGCGATAGATAATTATAAAACTAGTTAAAGCTCAGGTACCAATGACATTTCGGTTGTTCATGGTAAGTTGTCAGTGTGCTTCTCATCCCTTAGTCAGCAACCTGCATAGATTTGTTTCCTGTACCTTAGGAAGTAGCATCCCTCTGGTTTTCAAATGTGTTCCCTTTTTCTCCTTTTAGTGAGGAAATCAATAATAAAATGTTTATAATTGATGGGAGTAAATTTCTTAGCTCTATTTGAAAATGGATAAACTTTTATTCTCATGCCTCTTCCCTTTTCTAAGAAGTTCCCTCCCCATCTGAACTTTTGTAGTTTATGTTTCCTTTCTCCTGTTTTCTTCACTTTTTTATCTTCCCAGCATTTAAGACTTTCTCTTCTCGTTTGCTTAGATAGGTAGTGGCCTTCCACACCTCTCTGCTGCCATCAGCTGAGGGAATTCTCTGACTTGGTGATGAGCAGGAAAATGGACAATCAGTTAAGCAAATTAGCAGCTAATCATTCAAAAGTCACAAGTAAATGGCCATTTAAGCATATCATCAATACCCTGGACCAAAGAGGTGTACTCACAGCAAGGAAGAAAACTTCCCAATGAGTAGGAAGTTGGGAAAAAATGCCAGGAGGACTGTATGGATGAACAAGGAATTCCTGGACAAATTCAAATACAAAATCAGGTAATGGGAGGAACAGAGAAACACTGTCTGAGGACCCAAGGATGAAGTTAAGAAGGACAAAGCCCACATGGGATTGAATCTGGCCAGGGGTGTCAAAGACAACAAGCAGGGTTTCTGTAAGTATGTAGGTGACAAAAGGAAGGCTAGAAAAAAATGTGTGCCTACTGCTGAATTGAGGTACAGCATTCAGCAACATAGGACATGGAGAAGGCTGAGGCACTGAATGCTTTCCTCACCTCAGTCCTTGCTAGCAAGACCTGCCTTCAGGAATCTCAAGCCCCAGAGACCAGGGTTAAAGGCTGGAGTAAGGAGGATGTGGTGGAAGAGGACTTGGTCAGGGAATAGTTACGTAAACTGGCCCTGATGGGGTGCACCCATGAGTGCTGAGGCAGCTGGCTGATGTCACTGCAAGGCCACTCCCAATAATCTTTCATCCATCATGGTGACTACTGGGAGAAGTACCTGAAGAGAGGAAAAAGCAAATGTCACTCCTATCTTCAAGAAGGAGAACCTTGGGAACTGTAGGCTTGTCAGCATCACCTTGTTCCCTGGGAAGGTGATGGAGTAGCTAAATGCTTGAAAAAATTGCCAGGAATCTGAAGGACAAGAAAGTCATCAGGAGTAGTCAGGCTCGATTCACCAACAGCAAGTCATGCTTGATCAGTTGGAAAAACTTCTACAATGAAATAAGTGGCCTGGTATATGAAGGGAATTCACTAAGGCTTTCAAAACTGTCTCCCATAAAATCCTCACCAAGACACTCTTGAATCATGGGCTGGATGACCAAGAAGTGGAGTGAAAACTGGCTGAACAGTGAGTCCTGAAAGGAGGTGATGAGTGGTACAAAGACTGGTTGGAGGCCAGTAACTAGAGGTGTACCCCCAGAGTTAGGACTGGGTCCAATCCTGTGTCACATCTTCATTAATGATCTGAATGATGAGGCAGGTTTGTACCCACCAAACTGGGAGGTGAGGCTGATACATCAGAGGGTTGTTCTGCCATTCAGAGGGACCTGGACAGGCTGGAGAAAGGGGCTGACAGGAAGTTCAACAATGGGAAGTGCAAAGTCTTGCACCTGGAGAAGAAGAAATGCTAGCACCAATAAATGCTGGGGGCTGTCCAGCTGGAAAGAAACCTGACAGAAAGGGACTTGCAGACCCTGGTGGACACCAAGGGATGAACATGCACCAGCAATGTGCTCCTCCAGCAAAGAATGCCAGTGGCATACCGGGTTACATTAGAAGGGTCAACAAGATGATGGAGACACTGGAGCATCTTTCCTATGAGGAAACGCTGAGTGAACTCAAACTGTTCATCCTGGAGAAGAGCAGGCTCAGAGAGATCTCACCAATGTATATAAACACCTGCAGAGAGAGTGCAAAGAGGACAGAGCTCTTTCCTGTAATGGGACCAGAGGTGATAGGCACACACTGAAACACAGGGAATTCCTCCTGAACATCAGGAAACACTTTTGTGAGGGTGACTGACCACTGGCACAGGTTGCTCAGGGAGGTGGCAGCATCTCCATCCCTGGAGATATGCAAAAGCCATCTGGACACGGTTTTTAACTCTTTGTTTTAAATCATTTAACAGTGTTAGTAGCTTAGAGCCTATTTACAAATTACACAGTAGTACTATGTAGAGCAGGAAGAGTTCTGAAATGTCAATAAAGATGATGAAAATAAAAGTCCTGAAATCCTGCTCATAGTTATTTGCTGTTTTAAGTAAAGCCTTTTGATTATTTTATAAAAGACAAATGTGTCTTCCAACACTCAAATAGCTTACCATTCTCCACCATAATTGCTCAATCTTTCTATGAACTGCTTTAATACAGAAGATGGAATGATACAGGTTTTTTCTGGCAGTTTAGAATATTTATACCTGCATAAGCATAATCTTAATTCATTCTGGTCAAGCCTCTGCTTTGCACAGCAGTAAATCCTTCTTCTCCATCTTACCTGTTGGTTTTGCAACAATGAAAGTCAGCATGCTGTAAGTCTGCCATCCCTTAAGTTACTGGTCAGCATATTCCTTTTATCAAAAGGCCAATATAGCACTCGACTCCTCCCAGAGAGCTACATTCAGCAATTTAGAAACCCTCATATTATTTTTTATGAAGTTGTTACATAACTTGTATGTTATTTCTTTGCTGTTTTATACTGTATGCACTATATCCTTATGGATCTATACAGCATTTCTTTCACTCCCTATGAATATTTACCTTTCTCAACTTGTTCTCGTGCTTGCTGATTGGTCATTCCAGGGTATGGACATACTCCTAAACTGAATGTCTCCCACAAAAGGATTCCAAAGCTCCATACATCACTCTCAGATGTGTATCTCCCTAAGAAAAGGAAAGCAAACCCTCAGTTTAACATACAGAGAAAGTAACATTTCAGATAATTATGGCCCAAAATTTTCTGTAGAGGTAAAGTGTTACATTGGCAAGAAAGCTGTAACTAGTAATATACATTCTGCAGACAACACAGTCTTCAGTATCACATTATCAAACAAATTATCTTAAAGACAATACCTAGGAATAATATAAGCTAACCTAAAGTTCTACTATTTAATAGACCTTAGCATGTCAGTTATTTGCATGCAAGTTAAGAGTTTGTTTCCTCCTTAATGTACAAAAATTTCTTTTAATACAAAAGGATAGAAAAATGTTAGTTTTTCTCCCCTTGTTTATGATCACTTTTAATTAAAAAATGATTTTAAAAAATTACCTTTCCCAATTCTTTAATTTCACATAGCAATGAGTATTCTCAGAGGAGCTACCACCAACACAGTTTGTAAGCACAAGGAAGGCCTGGTTCTGATGCTCTGAGAAACCGATCTCTGAAAATGAAAGTATGGCTGGATCCTGAAGAACTGATGCACCCAATCACTTAAAGGAAAAAAAAAGTGCCCTGCTGGTTCCATTACCTTCAACTATGCCTCTGAGATAACAAAACAGGTAATTGATAGATAATTGAATTCCAAGCCTCCTTATGGAATGACAGCTTTCTATTACAGCAAAAGGAGAGATCTTGAAGCAGATCTTTCTGTTGTCCCTGATGGATTCACATTAAGAAGGATGGATTCACATCAGAAAGTTAAGGCTCCTAGCCTTTTGCAGCAGGATCAGGGAAAATGTTACCTTAAAAATCCATTTTCAACATTACTTTCAACACTTTTCATGACTATTCTTTGTTCCATACTATTACTTTGTATATATGTGCCTTTATTCTTTAAAAATACCTGCTTGTGAGTGTATTGTTTGTTCATCTCTAATCATCCAACAACCCAACTAAACTACTTCTGACTAGAAAAAAAGGGAAAATACATGTAAATTACAGTGACTGCTGATGACAGTGATAACTGTTCTGATGTCAGAAAATTCAGTTTACTATTAAGACTAAATATCACTTCCAGCTGTGCCACGTTGGCCTGTGTGCCTAATAGATGCCAATTATAGACATTCACTATGCTCTTTGTACTAAGAGTAGTTTTCTTGTCTATGTATCAACTCCCCACAGTTTGGCATTCAGTAATCTAACAATTTTCATTGACAGCATTCAGCAGATACAAGATAGGTGATTAGGGTGTTTTTTAAAAGAACATACAAGTTCTGCACAGTTAATTACACTTTCCACTATTACATTATCTGGGAAAAAAAAAGAAAGGCCTGTTCAGAAAAAACAAACAAACAACCCCATCACACATTAATATTAACATCACAACAGCTGCAAGTAATGGAAATAATATAGCTCCAAGCAAAAATAATGGTATGGAATGGCATTTGCTTATGACATCTGACACAATGCCCTAACCACTCCATTTGCCCTAATCTGGTTTCTAGACTTCACAACTTGTGTTTTTTCTTAATTTAAAACCTTTTAGTGACTGCTTTTAATTTGTAATATACATTGAATTCATCAGTGACTTAAAAAAAAAAATAACTTTTTTGCAGTCTTGAGCACTTTAGCATTCGAGTAATGGTTATATGGCCCTATTCCTCATTTTCTTCCAACTCTTAAATACTGACATTAAGGACAGACATGTCCAGTGGTTGCCAACTGGTTTTGAAATACTGCAGATTCAGTTCTATTCTGATATCTTAAATACTTTCAATCTTACCTACAGAAATCAATGCAATTCTTACGACCATATTATTAGGTTCGAAAATAGTAAAACACAATTCCATTAGTTTTATTCACATCTTTCCCAGAAACCTTTTATGACATTTTGAAAGTTGAATATTACACTACTGAACACATTAACAGATGTTTGAGAAGGCTTATTTTCCAAACACTACAGAAAATTACTTATAGCTGCTTGAATATGTATGTCTTTTAGGAAACACGAAATAAGTATGAAAGACAGGTTTCCATAACATGTGAAATATACTGTATGCATTTCTGAACCAACAAAAATAAAAATCCAAATCACCTTTCATAGTTGATCAAACATCCAAAAAAGTGTTTCACCAGTGAATGTTAGCAACACTGAGACCTCTCAGAATAATTGGTAATATAGGATCAATTACTGTAACTAAGTTTATTATTATACTGTAACTAAGTTTATTATTAGTCTTTCAAAGGGATGATCTGTTTTATTGTGTTATGTCATTAACTGCTGCAAAAGCATTAATGAGAGGAAACATTTTGCTATCAACCATAATTCACAAACTTATTATTTCCAATGCATGATTTCTGAAAAAGGGCTTTAAGAGATGGCAGAAATATTTATAGAAACTTCAAATGAAAAATTTAAAAATTTTTTTTTCTAAGTACTCAACTAAAGAATTGGTTGAGAGAAGTACATTCAGAACATGCCATCATTTATTTTAATGTGTTGCTTCTTCACAGCCCACTTTACCTACAAGAACTTGTTCTTCTAGATTCACGCAAGATAAAAAGCTAAATACAGTAGCTTCTCTTTCTGTTTGGGAACTATTACCCATGTAGTATGGACATTTCTCTTAGTAAGAAATAATGGATTTTTACACCCAAGATAACAGCCTAGCAATACACTAAAATGCAGGTAAAGAAAAGCTGCAGTTAAAAAAAAAAAATAGAAATCAGTGACTGTCCTTTTCACCAATGCAATGAATTATCTAACACAGTGTTTTAGTACATTAACACTTTCTACCATTTCCAGTGAGGTGCTAGAACACTCGCTGCCATAAATATGCAGAACTTGCCATTCATTTTGCTAATGATCATGATTTAGATGACAGATGAGTCTGTCTATAGAATGAGCCAGCAACATAACCAAAGCACTATGCTATTGCTGCATAACAGCAATTCTGATGTTCCTGCCTTATTTTTCTTGAAGGCAAACACTGTTTCTTACGTAAATAAGACTGAAAAATTAAAATTATTTTAAACATCATTTATTTTGAACTGGGGACTAGGAATATATACATATATACTCAAAATATTGCCCATAGTGTGGTCCTGGTGCTCCTTACTCTACATTGGATTTTCTTTTTCTTTTGCGAGGAGATACAGGTATATCCTTACCATAGTTCAGAGCTTCTGGAGCAGTCCACTTGATAGGAATCTGCTTTAGGCCTGATGATGAGTACACACCATCATCCTCCTGCCGGGACATTCCAAAATCACTTATTTTCAAGATGTTGCTTTCACCTACCAAGCAGTTCCTTGCAGCCAGGTCTCTGAGTTAGAAAAAGAAATAAACACCCACATTTTTACATGTTTGAAAGTACTTGAAGTAATTTAAAATGGCTGAGCCCCTCAGCCAGGATGGTGGCAGTTCTCCGAAAACTTATTTACAACGGGGTAAAAACCACTTCACAGAAGTTGTGGAAAACTGCTGAGGAGTGATGGAGAGGGGAAAAAAGTGAGAAATAATCTGTGAACACCAAGGTCACTAAAGAAGTGGGGACAGACGCTCCTGGTGCCTCAGCAGAGATTCCTCTGCAGTCCACAGAGAGGACCCAGAATGGAGCATGGGAAGAGTGTGAGTGGGAAGAAGGATAGAGGTGCACTTATGGATTGACCATAATCTCCATTCCCCATCCACCCCTCAGGGGAGGAGGTGGAGGATTCCAGAATGAAGGACTGCCTCAGAAGAATGGAAGGGTGTGGGAGGGAAAGCATTTCAGTTTTTGTCATTATTTCTCACTATCCAACTCTATCACAATTTGTAATATATTAAATTTATGTTACCCAAATTCAATCTGTTTTGCCATGATGGTAATTAGTAGGTGATTTTCCTGTCTTTATCTTGACCTAGAGCTTTTTTGTCTTATTTACTCCACTGTCCTGTTGAGGAGGGGGAGTGAGAAAACAGCGATGTGTGTCTGGCAGCCAGTCAAAGTCAACTCACCATAACTGCTCTCTGTGGTCACAGAAATAAACCCGCAGATAAACAAATCAGATCTTATGCAAAATGAAACAAGAGTCGAAGAAGCATCCTTAAATGTGTTCCAATACTTACAAAAGAAGACAGTGAGAAAACAAGGAAATGGCTCCATCTTCTCTCTGCCCATCTTATCTTAGTATTAGAGTTTCCATCAAAAATAAAAAGCTACTCAGCATAGGAAAAGGAATTTTGGCTCAGTGATGAAGCTTTGAAAATCAAAAGCCTTCCTTTCTGTCTCTTCATCTCAAACTTGTTTTTTTAGATTAGGAGACAGAATGTCATAATACTTCATAAAAGACCTACTGTGGCTTTTCCACATGCATTATAAACATACTAAATGCAAAATATTTTTAAACTAAATTTACTGTGTTTGTTTTCAGCTTAAATAGCTAGTATGCTCACAAATGGCTTGTCTTATGTGAATATTCCAGAAAAGCTACATTAAGTTTAATGTTTTGGACTGCAGCCGTAGCAGAGTTTTGAAGTGAATCCCCTGAGCAGTTAATGCACATCCCTTGGTTTTTGAAGAATGACTTTGGTGCATGCAAACTTGATTGTTCTTGGAAGAAACTAACTTAGAATTCTGGTCATTATGTGTACAGAACTTGCTTCTATAGCTAATGCAGAAGGAAAGGTCTGAACCAATGACAGACAGCTTCAAACACTATCCATGGTGGGGACATTAACGACAAAGGACTGAACTATCTTTAGTCTAAAGTAAAAGCCTTGAGCCATATGTAAGGATGCTGAACTTCATACATCTCTTTTGATCAGCTCATCCATATTGGATGACATTATGAGATATGAAGACAGAGCCTGTGTATGAGCCTAAATACTATAACTTGATTTAAGAATTTTAGCATATTTGACTCACACAGCTTTTCTGCCACTAAGGACATTTATGGCACTTGAGTTTGATGTTACAGTGATATAAATGAAGTTATTCTTGCAGTTTGAGAAGGTGGACCACTCAAAACCATAGTGCATAAATACGCACTATGTTACATAGTTTGATATATGGTATGCTACACTTAGCATGTGGTATTGTTATATATAGCTATATTGATTAAAGTAAGAGAGCTGCAAAACAAAATCAAATTGTTATTGCTTATACTCAAGTGTGTAAAAAGTATCACCATGAAACTTCAAGAATTTATGGTTTAGGTTCCAATCATAGTTCAGTAATTAGTTTTTTTATCGTTTTACTCAATATAGTCTAGATTTTACAACTGATGCACATAAGCAATGGAAAAAGTAATGAGGTCGTATCCCAGAGAAAATTTACAGTTAATTGAAACCACTACTACATCTTCCTACCTGGAGTCTGACCTAGTATTTAAACATGTTCTGAGTCAGATTAAGGAAAATCTATATACAGAGCTGCCTTAGGTTTATAACTCATGCATAAGTATGATTATTAGGGAAATGTATCATAAATAGTGCACAGTAAGATTATGCTCAGTTTGCATAATTTTCATCTTTTGTATGTGAGTTTTCTTTTATATTCAGAATCATCTAGAGAAAAAGTTTTTCATCCTTACTGAAAATTTACAAAAACACTTGCATGAATATCAACTGGTGCCTGTGGGAGTTAGTAAAGTATGTGACACTACACTCAGGATGTACATAAATTAGCATTAGATCTTTCAAAAGACCACGGACACATTAAGTTTTTGCTTCATGAAACAGTGTTTTTCAAGCTGTCTATCAGCTGGCAGTGGGTTGCACAATTATACTATTCAAGCTGCCACGCTGCACACAAGTGCCAAGGGAGGAATCATGAGCCAGTGGTCAGCTAATGGTCCACAGCTTGTGCTGATGGACATAACTATCACCTCCACCATGAATCGTATCAGGTAGAGAAGCATTTTCATTGTCACCTTCCTTGAATATAAGCAAAATCTTATGAAATAATGAGTTCCAAGCTATTAAAAATAAGATTAAAAAGGATAATTACTAAACTTAACTTAGTAATAAGGTTACAAATAGCAAATGAAATGTAGTAGTGCTTATTATGAGTCTCACAGTATTAATAACTTTTTCTGCTTTTAGCTAAAACTGTTACATTTTTTAAGCTATAATACTATGTATTACTTTTAATACATCATTTGTAAATAAAGTCTTTTAAGCCCTTAATATGTTCACTTCTGACATAAGCAAATTTGCCTTTTTCCCATCTTCATGAGTACAGTAGGCTCTATCTCTCACTTATTTAGAAAATACTTTAGATGTGATACTTTCATTCCTCAGGTATACAAATGTCCTGAAAGAGTGTCTTGTTAGCATTTCTGCCGTCATTTTACATCTGTTCCACATCCTCAGGATTTGTTGCTGAATTTTACAGATATATATCTATTTGCATGCTTAAAAGCATTTTTAAAAACATTGTTACACTGAGAACTACAGCTACATCAAGTTTGGGGGTTTTTTTTAGTATTATTCTGAAGGTTTGGTTAAGATTTTGCTATATTTTTCAATCAAATTCTTGACTGTTTCTCATCATGTTTGACAGCTTCCTTTAAAAGGATGTTCATATTTTTCAGCCTAGAAACAAGAGAAAAATATAAAAGATGCTTTTGGTCATTATTACAGAATTTATAGTCAGAATATGAAAAAAAATTGCATCAGCAATTATGACATCCATTGATTTAAAATAATAAATTACAGCTTTAATTTTCTTCCAGTTTCCATGATTCTAATTAATTTCTATTGGCTACAAATAAAAGGAAGTAGTTCTAGTATAATATTGTTAAGGGGCTTATAAAAAACCCTTTACTTCTTAACCTTTCATATGAAATACACACAACAAGAGTTTCATTCCATATGTGTGATAAGCAACAGGAATGAGGGAAAACAAGAAAATGTAAATAACAGGGCTGATGACCAAAACCAATATTAAATCAATATTAAAGATAACATCAATGTTAAATACTTATAGTAAATTAGGACTCTTTCTACATGGACATTAAAAACCAAACCAAAACAACAAAAACCCCCACCAAAATCAGCTATGTTCTATTTGTATTCTTTCCCCTGAAAAATAAGTGTCTTCCTTCTCCCTAATGTTGCCTAAGGTCAACATCCTGAAGTACAGATATAATTGCATGAAATTAGGTGTCTCTGTTTGGAGCATTTTTTTTCTTGTACAGCATTTGCTACTTACTGCAGTAATTCCAAAACATCAGTATTTCTCTTTAACACCGAACGCAGGCAAATATTCTCTATTTACAATGTTAAAGCTCTACAAATTGGGCACAAATTACACCGAGGTTCTGTAGAATAAGTTCCTTAGTAAAAGAAAAGCTGACTCTCACTATTTAATACTAAGATTATGTAAGCTCCTAGTGCTATTAGAAAAGAAGTACCTTCCTCTCAACTACTAACAAATAAAAATTAGTGTGTAATTTGGAAATTCTCTTTTTAAGCACTGCAGTGCAGTCCCTGTCAACACAAACAGAACATCTACTAGAATCATTAATATGGGTTGAATATGCTCAAACTGCAAGAGGTAGCTCATAGAACTCTGCTATTTGCTATTGAATTTGTGTTAAAAATTCTATAGTCACTTAAAGAGGAATTAGAGGAAATTTCTCTATGCTGGGAGTTGTTGCCACCTGGATTTATATCTGTCAGTAAAGATGTAAACCTACTAAACTTTAAGAACACATTTATACCCTTTCCCCATTCTCCTTCCCCCATCCCAAAAGAACTACAGAGCAAGCAGTATGCAGTATTTCAATGGAATTCCATCAGTTAAAGAAAATCAAAACAAGAGAGTAAACTCCTCCTTACTAAACCAGCAGCACAGACTGCTAATTAGCCATTTTATATCCCATTCATGGATCATGCCACTAAAACACTCCTAGGTGATAAAAGCAAGTAATTAATTAGTGAACAGGATCAGTTTATCTCCTCTGCACATTAAATTCAATGAAAATGTCTATTACCTAAACAACAAAAAAAGGCGGGAAATGAAACTAGAAGTGAACTCACTGGGTTTTTTGTGGACTGTAAGACACTACCTCACCTTCTAACACCTGAGGTAATTTCCACTGGTGTCTAAGTCAAAACACACCTATTTCAGAACTTCCTTAATATGCACATGCTGCTACTTTTGCTGTATGTGGAGAGCATAGTTGGGAAAATATTAGAGGTTCAGAAGCACATCCTTCCAAGCATCCTATATTGTCTTCCCCCTTTATACTCTGTTTTAATTATTTCTTCACATTATTTTAGCTATCACATTATGAATACCAATGGAGCAATATTAACTGCAATGCTAATAATTTC